TGTCCATCGGCAGTGGGCACAACTTCACCAGAGGGCGAGTGAAGGTGTCATCCGCTGTCCTCACCGTCGCGACCCGAGCTTAGAAACTTAGAAATTTGCGGCATCGACCGCCTCGGGAATGGTGGGAGAGGGGTGAGACCATGGCCAAAGTTCAAGACTCGAAGAAATAGGAAAAAAAGGGGGGGGGAGAAAAATACATTTTTTAATGGAGCACTTTTGTGGTCTTTCTCCATGGTCCGCGCTTTTTGACAATAGGGTATATAAGTCGTGCAAATTCAGAGGTCCCCAGTACCCGCGATTCGGGATAGGTTTCAACTCGGGCTCCCGCGAAAGTGCCAGTGAGGTGCAGTAAAGTGTCAGTGAAGTGCAGTGAAGGTACGGGAAGCGTACGCAAAAAAAAAACAAAAGTGCAGACAAGACAGCGCTTCGAAGGAATATCAGTGCTGCGAGCGCGCAAGAGGAAAATAGTTGGAGGACGCGCGCAAGAGGAGGACGTGCATCGAGAGTGCGTCGCGATGTCGAGAGTGCGGGAAAGGCGCGCGCGCTCGCCGAGATTCAGCGAGAGCAGCACGGAATCCGAAGATTCGGACGTTGTGTACGAAGCGAGCGGTGGCCGGAAGGCGACGTCGCCTCCGCCGCCGAGTCGGCCCACGAAGAGTCCGACGACGGGCAGGGCGTTCATCCGTGGATACGGGCCCTGTCCCCCGTGACACTAAGCGTCAAAGACGTGGACAACTTTAAGAAATACGAAAGAACGTCGGACTTTGACTCATACGTAGTGTCGTGTTTAACCATGGAACCGTTTCGATGCAACACCGTGTGCAAGGTCGACACGAAACCGTCGAGAATCTTTGTATGCAAGAACACAAAGCTGACGTGTTATTACACGAAGAGGAACTTTAGACCCATGCGCGAATCCAATTTTAAAGCGTGCGACGAATTGAACGTGAGGTCGACGTTCTACGAAACGCAGATCGCGACTGTCGATTCGAAACCTCTGTTCATGTTGTTCCAAATCGACCGAGAATCTTAGTTCTTCGACGCCATTCCCGAAGATGAACATTTGCGAGTAGCGGTGAGCACGTTCGTGAGAGTAATCATAGCGCGAGCTGCTCGAAAACTCCCGGACGATTGTGAAACCGCGCGCGCTGGGATTAAATACTTGGTGGCCGACGTAGATCGTACTTACAATATATTCGAGGCAGATTTCCAAGTATTTGCCGAGTTGTTGACCAAGAGCATGAGCAAAAGGAACATCCGAGACAAGTGCGGGATAAACTTCTTAAGGTTCTATCAATTCGAGCACGGCCTCTGATTAGCGAGATACAAGGCGGAAAGCATCTTTATTGTTTCGCTGAAGGAAAATTACCCGCACGTGGACGTCATTCAGGTTCATATCGCCGACGTCGTATGATCGCGAGACGACGCGGCGATCGTCGTAAAACTGACGGGGAGCCAGCGCGATTCTTTGCAAAGTGTAAACGCCAACTCGATAAAGTTGGGACCGCGCATAGGCAGATACCGCGTGGGATTTCTGCACGACTACGGCTACTTCGATTGCCATCAGTCGCCGCGGCAGAATCGAGTCATCACGTTCTCACAGGCATACTGTTCGGCAGCCAAGATGGCGCGAGCTGCCGACTCTGGACTCGTCGCGGCGTATACGTTGTGCCGCGGATTCCGCGACGGCGGTCGCGAATTCGACCCGGTAAGAGCAAACCTCATACAATATCTGTGCGATTTGGACAACTACACGGACAAATACGTGGTGAAGGATTAAGCCCTCCGTATCGAAGAGGTACTGACGTTCGACAAGAGACGCATAGATGGAACGATGACAGAGGCGATGCTTCAAAATCGCGTGTTCCAAAGTGATCGAATATGCTCCACCACCCAGATATTGTCGGAAAGAGGCGTCATAATCCAGTTGAACAATTGGAAGAGACACGTCGATCGTTGCGTGTCTCTCGACCGTGACATTCTCGGTCAACTCGAGTCGTGCAGCTACGACGAATATAACATCGACCCGTGGGTATCGCCGTCCTGGATAGTGTTTGGAATACACGCCGACTATCGGTTGACCTATTTCGTGCACGGTGCGGCGCGGGTGCATAATTACGAGATAACCCGTGCAATGATGACCCGCGGAACGAAGGGCAACTCGGTCGACAGAAGAATAGTGGTCCTTAAACCGACCATCGATCCCCGAGTCATCAATGTGTATCCGTTATTTTCTTCTCACATCAAGGTGATACATATGCAACCGATCAAACATCAGTGGCTCGTCATAACCGCCACGGAGAATAGAGCGTTTAACGAAGACGGAACGCCAAGCAAAGTCATCGACGAGCTTCAAATAAAATACTTAATGGCGTCCTACGCATCGTGGGCGTACACCCAGATTATAAAAGGGAACGACGACGAAAAAAATAAAAGAGAATTGGTCGAAAAGTTCTTTGTCAGCGACACCGACGCTTTTACCCTCGACACATTCGTCCGTCAGTTGACGAAAATCAAGAGGAAGGACAGATACTTGACCACAGCGTCGAAAAGTACGTTCATGGCGAACGACATAGCCCGAGAAATGGTGCGACCGACTAACTCGTCGTTCGCAAAAATCGTCCGGATGACGATGCGCGTCGTTGACGAAGACGCGTTCATAAATGTGCTTACCGACTACGTTATGAGTCACGTCCAACTGTTCCCAACGAATATAATGAAAGGCCGGGAACAATATTACGGCTGGGAAAGAGTCGTCGATTACCGAGACGAAACGACAAGATTGACGCTTTACCGTTTGGAAAACGCGGTTATCACCGCTCGTACCGGCAAGAAAAAGCGTAGCGGCCGTCGCAAATTTAAGTCCGCAGCACCGAGACTATCGACGGTTCGAGAAGAATCTGAGCCAGAAAAGCCAGAGCCCGAAACGGAGAGATCGGCCTCGACGTCTCGCGTCGAGAAGCGCCGTACAAGGAGGTTAATTCTACCGAGCGAAGACGAAAACGAAGACGACGCCGCCGCTGCCACCGACGCCACCGTCGTTCTAACATCGCCGCCACGACCATCCTCGCCGCAGCCATCGACATCTGGATTGGGAACGTCAGGATCGGCAGGATCGACGCCACAGACGAGACTGAGATTCGCGTGAATGTCTTTGAAAGACAAGTCTTTAACGCCCGTGACGACTATTGCTTCACCGTCGGCATCGATGCCACCACCACCACCGTCGACATTGAGAAGGTCGGCCCGATTATCCGGGCGTGAATCGGCCGCCGTCCAAAGCGACGTCAGCACGGCGAGTAACAAACCGAAGAAAAAAATGCGAATGAAGGTGTCCCATTTTATCGAAGCGATGGACATCGCCTTGATCAACCACGGATTACAAACGTGCTCCGTGAACAACTTGACGACGTGGACATGCCTCAAGGAGATACGTCCGGATTTATTCGCAGCGTTCACACCGTCGCAAATGAGATATCGCCTTAAGCAACTCAACGCGGGAATCCACAAAGCCCAATTCGGCGAAACGTACGAACAACAGTTGTCGCTGATTCGCGATTTGGTCAAGGTCCAAGGAGTGCGATAGTATGTATATACTCGTTGAAAAAAACAAAACAACAAAAAAAATATAAACAGAAAATAACAAAAAAAATATAAAAAAAAAGCAAAGAGAAAAGGCCATGTACATAGTAGTTATATAGTCAGTGTAAATAGAGGCCAATTTAGAATTTAAGCATCCCCCAACATTCCCCTTTCCTATTCCAACTTCCCTTTCCTAGAGACGCCGTCACGGCCCGGGTGTAATTCTATGATCCGCCCTTGTCTCCACTGTAAGGAAGGGGCGTTCTCGTTTTTTAATAGGACCAACGTGTCCTTTTTTACCGCGGGCGCCACCTTTAACCACTTTGGTCGCTCCTGGAGGGTGTGCAGATACTCGTCATGCCACCGCTTTCAGAACTGTTGGTGCATGTGCTGCACCAGTTGCCATCGATCGAGCCTACCTATTGGCACCGGTTGTAGATTCGGATATGGGACGGCTACGAGGGGTTCCAAAGTGAGGAAGTGCCCCGGGGAGAGCACCCCGAGGTCGTTAGGATCGGAGCTAGTGGGGCATAGGGGCCTAAAATTCAGGATGGCTTCGACTTGTGTTATGAATGTGCCAAACTCCTCCACGGTGAGGATCTGCGCTCCTACGACGCGTTTCAAGTGAGTCTTCATGGACTTGACCCTCGCTTCCCAGAAACCACCGAAATGTGGCGCCGAGGGGGCATTAAACGTCCACTGAATTCTTTCTCTCTCTGAGACGGCCTGCATGCAGTGAACGAACTCTCGGTGAGCTCCAACAAAATTGGTGCCGCAGTCGCTGTATATCCACGAGCAGCAGCCGCGCCTAGCGATGAAGCGTCTCAGAGCTGACAGAAACGATTCGGTAGATAGAGAAAACGCGAGTTCTAGGTGAACTGCTTTTGCGGCGAAACAGACAAAAAGGCCCACATAGGCCTTGAACGGAGTTGCTCCGCGTGAACGACGATTATAAACTGGGAATGGCCCAGCATAGTCGATCCCAGTGATTGAAAAGGGCTTGGCCTGGCGTACTCGGTCTAGGGGCAGATCCGCCATGGGCAGTTGCACAGTGCGTGGATTCGCCCTGAAACACTGATAGCAGCGCGATAGGCAGCGTTTTATGGCCTGATGGACCCCCAGAATCCAGAAGTTTCGTGACAAGAGATAATGTAACGCTCGACGTCCCGGAGCAAATGTAGGCGGTGGGTGCGCTCTACTATAAGTTCCGTGAGTCGATGTCGGCTAGGCAGCAATGCTGGATGCTTAGTTTCGTATGAGATGGCGGAATGACTCAGTATGCCGCCCACCCTGAGGACTCCGCGAGCGTCCAAGAAGGGGGCGAGCTTTCGCAGAAGTTTGGAGCAACTCTGATTGCGTCTTAATCTACTAATATCCTCTGCAAAACAACGAGATTGAACAAATTTGACGAGATATAATAAAGTCGAATGAAATTCGATTTGATCCACGGCGAGAGTGAGCATGTTTGGTCTAGTTCTATTAACGAATCGGAGACAATATGCGAACACCCTGATGAGTTTGTCTAACGACAAAAAGCGGTCGAGAAGCGAATCGACAACCGTAATAAAATTTACGCCATCGGTAGGATTCATGGAGACGAAGGCGCAAGAATTTTTTTCCTCCTCGGGAAGATCCTCAACTTCCAATGTCGTTTCTTGAGTGGGTTCGAATTCGACGAGCCATACAGGGCCGGTCTACCACAGCGGGTGATCAACTAGTTCCTAGGAAAACAAGCCCCTTGAGCAACAATCAGCGGGGTTAGATTTGGTATCGACATGTTTCCAGCAAGAGATATCTGTGTTGGACTGGATGCGGGCCACACGATTACGTACGAACGTTTTCCAGCGGTGCGGAGCTGAGCGTATCCAAGCAAAGACGACTTCAGCATCCGACCAAGCGTACGTATCGTTGATAACAACCTTGGGCCGGAGAATTTTTCCGACGTACTCTAACAAGTCTGAAAGCAAAACAGCCGCGCTAAGTTCGAGTCTCTCGGCAATGTGATGGCCTTGAGCGGGGCCACCTTTGATTTGGCGCTAAGCATACGGATCACTACACCACTCTCGGCGACGATTCTAATATATACAACGGCTCCGTAGCCCTGCTCGCTCGCGTCACAAAATCCGTGGATTTCTCGCTTGACTACGTTATCTACGACCGCGATAGTACGAGGTACGCGAATGGAGGCTGACGCGGAGAGCTCCGACTTGTATCTTTCCCATCTAGAACATATCTCCAGAGGAGGCCTGTCATTCCACTTCAGTTTAAGCATCCAGAGTCGCTGGATTAGTCGCTTAGCTGCAAACGTAAGCGGTGTCAAGAACCCCAATGGATCGAAAATGCGAGCTAGTTCAGAGAGAATGGTGCGTTTGGTGCAGTCTCTGTCCAACGGGTTGACCTGAAAGCCAAAGCTGTCCGTTTGAGGATACCAACAAAGCCCAAGAACCTTAAGAAACTGATTTTTAGGCGATTCAAAGGATAGTAACGACTGACTACAGAGTTCCAGATCCAAATCCGGATTCGCATCCCGGAACGAGGAGTCACTAAAATCATGCAGAGTACTGACGTCGTTGCTCCCGTCCTCCTCTAAAGGCCTCACAAGGCCGGACGGGACGCTTTGATCCTAATCACTCTTAACCGAAAAACCTCAGGTTTGAAATCTCGTTATGATTGCTGCGATAATTCATATACTGATTTTTTACCGCGCGGCTACGGCAGTTACGAAGTGAACGATGTGAGATGCTAAATATTCGCGTTAAATGTACATATGTGTGCGGGCAATCGCTGTTTCTTTTCATTGCGCGTATCTTTAGCCGGTTATGGCATTGCTCATTCTTTTCGAATTATTATTTGCGGTATTACGTGCAGTTACTCGTCTGTGTGATGTGTTCGACATGTTTTTTCTCACGATATGATATTCGCGTTGTGAACTACAAATTCGCATACAAGTGACCCGGTATTTTTCTTTTGCGTACGTGCGTTGTTTCTCTTCGACATTGTGGCTTTGTTTCTATGCGAACGAACATGAGTTAATTTTCCCTTACAAATGTTTCGCGTTTTTGCCCGGCGTTGTTCTCTTCATAATCTATTTACCGCATTATTTACGTGTTTACTGTTAATGATAATTCTATTCTTACCGAGATTCTTTGCGTAAGTCGTCGAGAAGATTGTGAACAGATAGTAGATTTACTACGAACAAGATATCCGCAAAATTCATATGAACAGCACCAAATTTGCGAGATTACCACATGGCTTTGCGTTCAGCCGTTGCATGATTATTGCGATGTGACGAACAGCACGAGGCTGTGTGGGAGATTATGTGGTTACGAACAGCACGAAGCTGTGTGGGAGATTACGTGGTTACGAACAGCACGAGGCTGTGTGGGAGATTGCGTGGTTACGAACAGCACGAGGCTGTGTGGGAGATTGCGTTGTGACGAACAGCTCGAGACTGTATGGGAGATTTCGACGGACTGTTGATACACTTCTGAGATTACCGCGACATTACTCTGATCTGATAACCGCGACTGTTGACTTACGTTACTCTGTTGATACCCGCGACTGTTTCATACACCGCTTCTGAGATTACCGCTATTCCCTTGCTAACCGCTCAGCTCAACGAGATCAACTGCGCGCTAGACATCCTTGCGCCATTCATCTTTGCGTTCTACGTTCCTGTGATCTGCGCGCTAGACATCTTTGCTCTGCGCGCCATTCATCCTTGCGTTCTACGTTCCTGTGATCTGCGCGCTAGACATCCTTGATCTGCGTGCCATTCATCCTTGCGTTCTACGTTCCTGTCATTCTTGCGATTTACCTTGTCAACTGTTGACATTCTTGATTTCTATTCTTACTCGGCGCAACACGAATCAGATAACATCATACAACATTTTCATCAGCTAAAACCGACGGGTGGCTACTGTCCCACTTTCTGAGTTCGAAGCCTGCAGTTTTAAGCAAGGCTTGTAGCTGCCGCTAAAGCTCACGGGCTTTCTCCTCTGACTCGACGCTCGCCACCACATCGTCGACGTAAACACTCTCTTCCAAGACAGCCGCGGCCAACGGGCAGCTTATTTTGCCTTCAGCCGCTAACTTCAATAAGCAAGCAATTGCTGGGAGAGCATGTCAATCCAAAGATGACGGTCAACAAAAGGTAGTCCGAGATCGGGTCGTTCTCTAAGAAACGTCACAAGATTCGCTGGTAGTCACACTGACCGAGTTCGACCAAGATTTGAAGGAACATCTGCTTGACGTCCGCGGTGAGCGCCACGAGGCTGATCCGGAATCTCAATAATATCTCAAGTATATCTGACTGTAGCTTAGGAGCGGATCGCAGCATTTGATTCAGCGAGACGCCGTTCAGATCCTTAGCCGATGCGTTAAACACGACACGTAATTTCGTAGTTGTGCTATATGATTTGAATACTCCAGATGGGGTAGGTAGAAGACAGGTCCGTCCACTGGGAACGGCTGCTTAATCAATCTCATATAACCATTATCCAAATAATTTTGCATTAATTTACTATAATTTATTTTAAATTTTGCATCCAATTTGAAGCGACGATCAAGTGCGCGAAGTCTGTTCAAAAGCGGGAGAGATTCATTGGCGCACAGTACAATTGCGCACGTTGCAATTGCACACAGTACTATTGGACACATAAAGTCGCGCACCGTACAATTGCGCACCGTACAATCGCGCACAGCACAATCGCGCACCGTACAATCGCGCACCGTACAATTGCGCACCGTACAATTGCGCACCGTACAATTGCGCACCGTACAATCGCGCACTTTATGTTGTAAAGCGAGTTCCACGCTTTCAATCACGGGGGGTGCCGAAGGCCCCCCCTCGCACCGCCTCGTCTGTGTGTGTGTGTGTGTGTGTGTGTGTGTCCACGCGAAACGAGGTGCCACATGGGTTCATGACGCGCTTTACAACTTAGCATGTACTTTAAGTTGTAAAGCGAGTTCC